GAAGCTATGAATTTTTTTTGACGATGATAATGAATTGGAAACTATGAACTTTTCTGACGATAATTTGGCCTTAAATGAAGTTTATTTATCTTCTAAAGAAGAAATTTAAACTTCTGACTCTAATGAAACACAAGATATTTCATTCGATATTGACAATCCTGAAGTATACAGTAAACATCACTATTCACAAAAAAAATTGTTCTTGCTCGTTCAATGAAAAGAACTTGTGGCCCTGGTTGTCGATTTAAATGCGAGACAAAAATTTCCGACGATGCAAGAAAAACTTTTTTTAATGACAATTGGAGTATTCCAGAACACACCAGAAAATATGACTTTCTTCTGAGACACGTCATCAAAGGGTCAGATATGAAGGAAAATGTGGGAAAAAATTCTACAAGAGAATGGATGGATAGTAATAGAAATTAAAAAAAATATATCAACATTTTTTTCCAAAAATACTCAAAAAAACAAATTTCGAAATTTTAAAAAAATTTTTTTAAAATTTTTTTTCGAGGTACACCTCGAAATTTTTTTTAAAAGTGTTCGTCTAAATACCCCATTTGACATATATTTTTTAAAAAATTTTTGAAGAGGTACTTAGGGGCGAAAAAAATTAAAGTTTTCAAAAAACACATTTTACTCTTGAACTACTGGACTAGAAATAAAATTGGGTTATATTTGAGGTTATGTTGTAAATAAAGGTAATATTAACAAAAAAATTTATGGTAATTTTTGCAAGGTACACTTCAAAAAGTTTTTTGACTATTTTTTTGAATATTCTTTTCTATGTACATACTTTATAGCATAAAAAGACTGAACTAAAGATGATTCTCGTAAGCTGATTGGAATGAATGGGACTGAAGAATTCGATTTATGTAGGCTTGAAAACGGCTGATTGGAATTAGTGGGTATGAAGAATTTGATTTATGTAGCCCTAAACTTCATCACAAATACCAACATCAGACTGGAACCTTTTCCCAAACGTGTTGTTCAGAAATGCTGCAATTTTTAAATAACTCGCGATTTTTGGTATCAATTTATTATCAATTTTATGATCCAAAAGTCGATATTTTTGTTTAATAATGCCATGCACTGATTCAACAGCCCAGCGAATTTTTGTGACAAAACGCGAATCATTGGATTCTTCTGTGGATAACTGCTTTCTTTTACCTATTAAAGCTAGCATTAGAACTCTAAAATTATCTGCACCCAATGTAGCTTTAACGTCGTGGAAACCACGGTCGAGAACAAAAATATCGCCTTCTTCCAAGATTTTACGCAAACCGTTTTGATCCTTCATTACGTCTTCTAAAATTGATACATCATTTTGGTTTGCTAAATGTGGCCCAAGCATATCAACAACAAAACCATCTGTAGTGCATATACCCTACCGAAAGAGTGGTACTGGAATGGTACTGAATTGGACTTGGCTTGAGTTCCACTTCAGTACCACTACCTGATAACCTATAAGAAGACATTTTTAAAGTACTTTAACAATAGTTTTAAAGGTATGTTAGAACAGCAAAACGTCTCTCACGATATCCGTGTAAAACAGCAAAAAAAAACATAATAGTTTGTAGAAAATTTCAGTTAAGTTTGGAAATTATATTGCAATCCCTCCTTGAACAATAGACTCCAAGGTCCTTTGTTGAAGGATTACAATTTTAACCCGAGTTTTATTGCTTAAAAAATTTGTACATATTTGAAAACGTTTTTATACGGCGCTGGTTTTTGATGCGCACGCAAAAAGTAGGAGAAAGGCACCCGACACTTGCCAAGATTATAGGCGTGGAAAAAATCAGACACATATCGAGATCCAACACTTATCAAACCCGACACTTACCGAAATTGTACTGTATTATTATTTATTATAAAAATTAGTTTAAAAATTTAAGTTATTAATGATAATTGTTATTAGTAATTATATTAGACTTAATAGCTATTAAAATTATTAATATTATAATTAATCAAATAATATATTCTTTTAACAAAGAGTTTTTTAATTATTCAGAGTTGAAACTGGTGCAAATATGTTATCGTTTAATAAAAAAAATTAAACGTATGTTTAAAAAAGGCTAATTTTAATAAAATACGTGTGTGAATCGATATCTATTGTTCTTTATATACAAATCTTAAAGAAATATGTTAATGTGAATGTCATGAATATAAATATATTTTTAAAATTTCGCGGTACTGTCTGCAGAACTTTTGTCCACCAATGTGCACAACATCCTACGGCTTGTGAAATAGACCTATTGTAAAGTTACGCTTTTCATAATTTTAAATACAATTAAAGTACATAATAGACTTAAAACATAAATTTTTTAAAAATATTAATTATTTTATTAAATTTTTATATAGTATTTCTAGTATAACCGAATTTTTAAAAATTTATGGGGAAATTTTTTTTTTAGTGGAGAATCAGTTTTGATCGGGGGGGAAAACATCTTAGCAATCTGGCAACCCTGCGTATTTCCCTCTCCCTACATCAAAGAGGTATTAGCAAAAGCGCTAAAAGCAACTGCAGATCTTAGCAGACTTTTTGCAAACATTGGAGGACCGCGATCAACAAAAAGACGACTTCTGCTCTCAGTGACAAATTCCATCCTACTCTATGGGAGTGAATTAACAGCAAACTCCTTACTGAAGGAGCAGTACAGAAAGGGAATGGACTCTGTTCAACGTTTAGGGGCAAGACAGATGGAACAAAGAAAGCAAAGGCAGATGGACCTTTAGATTGATACCAAATATTAAAACGTGGCTAAATAGATAAAGCGGAAAGGTAAATTATTATTAAACCCAACTACTGTCTAGCCATGGCTATTTCACAGCCTTTTTACATAAAATAAAAAAAGTAGAATCACCAGCATGTATATACGGAGACTCTGAAAAAGACGACGTAAATCACACTTTTTTCCACTGCACATGATGGAACCAGGAAAGAAAAAAATTAAATTTTTAAAAATGTTATTAGATGTGAAAACGTGGTATATGATATCCACCTACTCCGAAAGGCTACTAAATATAAAGAAGACTGATTTAGACTCCACTAGACAAGGAATATAAGATTATTTATTTATTTTACAAATTGACGTTGACATATTTATTATTTGATTTTATTTTAAAACGATTTATTTATCTATTTACGTAGAAATTAAAAAAAAAAATTTGTAATTTTTGACGAGACTAAAACAGAAATCCAGGCTGGGCATAAGACAAAGAAGAGCCGAAGCACTGCTAAGAGTCGTAAGTGACCTCAACCCCTGAAGAAATGCGAAAGCGAATACCGGGGGTTAGTTGGTAGGCGTGCATGGGGGGTGTTTGGGTGCGGTAAAGGCGGCTGCAGAAGTCAGGATCGGTACAGTCCCACACAGTCCTAAGATCAGGCAGTGCGTAAAGCATTTCACCTCCTCCTCTCAAAAAAAAATATATATATATATATGAAGGGTAGCATGACAAAAGGGGTCAAGCGCCAATTTATCGAAAATGAGGTTTTTGCATAAAAAAATCAAGAAAATTCATTAACACATTTCTGTAGAAGGATTTCCTTTTTTATTGCGTATTTAAATCAGTTTTTAATAAAAATTAAATTAATAAAATAGCCTCAAATTTACTTTATTGCAACCTGATTGAAAAACAAAAGAAAGTGGTGAGTCAATAATATTATGCATAACTTGACAAATTTAAAAACATTGCTTTTTACAAACCGAAAATGCCTCGCAGATGCGAAAAAATCTATTAATAAAAAAGATATTGTTAAAAAGAAACGATATGAAGTTGAAATGTTTTTATGAATTTCATTCTTCACATTTTTATCCATCTGTTCAATTTTGATCAAAAATATTATTTTTTTAGGTTTTATTTTAATATTTTATTTTAATTTTATTTTAATAATATTTTAATTAATAAAATTAATAATAATAATAATATATTTTCAATTTTAAACAATTTTAAAATCATTTTGTTATTAATTTTTAAATATTTTTATGATTATACTAAGTGAACAATTGAATTTAAAGATGAAAGTATTGCTCAATTCCAAAGCAAGCAATTAATTCGTAATTTTCTTGAAAACAAACAATTTTTTAAAGGAATTTTTTTTCTATTCATTTCATGGATTCCATAGAAAGAAACTAATTTTCCAGTTTTTCTTTAAACTGTATATTTTTTTATAATTAATGTTTAAAGAAAATGTGCGCAGTTGATATAACCTCAAGGTACCACAGTTTTTTTAATTTTATCGTTAATATGTAGGTTTATTTCAACAAATTGTTGTTTATTTATTAAAACACACTAATATATCGAAACGGTTTTCTCAGTTTTTTTTAAATGACCTGCAAAATGTTTAAAAATGTTTTTTTTACTTCCTGTAAAAACAGTGAATTGGCGCTTGACCCCTTTTGCACAGAATATTTCCCTTAAAACAAGCACTTTTTTTGTTTTTTTTCACATTCTATCGGCCTACGACATATATAATATTTACAATGAATAAAAGTATTAAATTAATTAACATTTCACCTCACCATATTTCATTGAAACTTAATATTTTCGCTCACCATTAGTATTGTTTCACTCTTTTCATTTTTATCTTTTAATAGCTTATACTTATTTATCATTCCTGTAACGTCGTTTCGTTTCTTTAAAGCTTAAAACTTTCGCCGCAATGGGACTCTTCGATTATTGCATTCACTGTAACACCCAATAGGGTATTTCATTGGATATTTCGCGAATACCGTATTGGCAGGTTGATAGTCCTAATGCGTAAATCGGTACCTCCCAATATTTTTTTACAGCGGTGTAATAATTTATTTTTTAAAAAAATATTACCATATATGAACAAAAGATTGCTAACTAAAAAATAAAAATGTTTTAATGATTATAAATTGTACTAAAAATTTCACCAGCCTGCATCAGACAACGTAAAACGCCATTTGGAACGCTCTGCCAGTGAAGTGGTTATTTGTATTGTATGCGTGAATTATGAATTTTAACAAATTTACCTGTAGCAAATCTTTCCCTCTAGCTGTCAATTTAGGAGTAACTTGAGGTAATCCTTGAGTCGGATGATACTGAGGAAATGGTTTATAGTCAGGAAGAGTCGTAAGATCTGACCACGTTTCATCTGTGGGCGTACCTAACATCTTAAATATTCGTTTTAATTGATCGTCGACATCTGATCCTGGAAACAGTGGTCTCCCAGCATTCGCTAATTCTAAAAAAAGAATAGAAAAAGTATTTATCCACTTCTCATTAATATTGTTCTTCATTAATTTTTTACAATTTCTTTTTTGTTTTAAAAATTAGTATACTAGGTTGACTGTCCGTAGAATATGATCCTACATTACTAATTTATAATTAGATCTCTCTATTCTTTCGGTTTCTTGTCAATATAATTTTATTAATTGTCATTATCAAACAGCATAAGCAAGTGGTAGTAAATCTTGGTTTTAGTGCAATAGTTATTTTCAAATACATAACGTGTTCAAGGCAGTAGTTAAAAAATTACTTTTTTAAATCAAAAACTTTAAACGCGTTTTTCTCAAAACAACTTTTTTCGCGCGCCGTGCATACAGCTCATATAATTTTTAACCGATTTTCATGAAACTTACCAGAAATCTTCTTTAACTTACTGGTTATTGCATGACAAGCTGCTTTAAAAAAAAATTTTAAGAATTTTTTGTAAATTGTTTATAAAAAAAATTGATTTTTTTCAAATTTTTTTTTAATTCTCTCTTCGTTATACAAAGCGTATTTGTATCTTTTAACGATAAAAATTTTATTTTTTGATTTTGGTTGAGATTTGAGACCTGTAGGCTGCACGGCGCAAAACCAAATATCAAACTTTAAACGTCAGTAACGCCACCATTTTGTAACATTTTTAATTTAAAAAATTATTATACATAGTTTGTATTGTACACTTCAAGGTATACTTTATTTCAATTCAATAAACTTTACTACTAAGCAGGAAATCCTTCACAGAACACTCATCGAGCTCCGCTTAAAATCGTAATTTTTTATATATTTTCAATTAATTTTTTTTTGTTCATGATTTTGATTTGAAAATTTCATAAAATTCAAATAATCGAAGATTCGTAGAGTTTACGTCATATAAATTGATATTTAAAAACTATTTTCGCGTAGTGAAAGATCATGTGCTATTGTACATTTAAAATTGATTACACTAGATTGTTATTATTTATTATGTTGTCTTATTTTTTTGCCATCATGTAATTCTGTGAAAATGCTCTTAACTCTTAACCATTCAGAATTTATTGAGAATTATTGTTATTGATGCTAACATTGACTCATCGGTGAGTCTGGCACTCAACACTCCGTAATTTGTTAAAAATGTAATAATTTTTTTTGTTAGAGTAAATTAATTAAGACCCTTATCGATCATAAACCCGAAGGTGAGAACAACAATTATTAATTTTTTTAACCTCACAAATTTTAAGTTAATTTGTGTTTGCTCAAATGTTTTCGATAATGAGTTAAATGATTTTAAAATAATTGATTCTGTTATGATATTTTAAAATTTTGTAGGTTTAATGATCGGAGGTTAATGTATATAATTATTTCTTTTGACCGTATCAAAATATAGATTAAGTTAAAAATATAATACGTACCTGCAAATATACAACCAGCACTCCACATATCAATGGAAGTTGTGTAAAGCTTAGCTCCGAACAAAACATCAGGTGGTCGATACCATAAAGTCACAACTTCTGCAGAATAACATTTAACTGGGATTCCAAAAGCTCTCGCTAATCCAAAATCAGCAAGCTTTAGCTCTCCATTCTATAAATTATGAATTAAAATTATTGATTTACACATCAGAAAGTTAAAACTTAGTGTTACTTTTAAGTCATCTTCTAATATATATATATATATATGTTACGGTAAAAGCCCGAAGTTGGTAAATGTGCACATTTACTGGTTAATGTGCACAATTACCAATGCAGTTGGTAAAAGTGAGAAATGTCTGTTTTAAATTAAAAATTTCGTACATTTACCAAGTAAATTGGTAATTGTGCACAATCACCAACAGAAATTGGAAAATGTACGAAATGTCTAAATTGAATCAAAGATTTCTCACTCGTACCAACTACCTTGGTAAATGTAGATAGTTTGTTTTGTTTATATTTCAATTAAATAGTAATCAAATGCCTATAAAGGAAACAGAATAATTAGAATAGAATGTTTATTCTGCTAACCTCAGTATTTCGTTTAGTTCGCTTTCGACAGTGAAATTGCGAGTATATTTTAAATTTTGCCTGTAAAAATGAGTGAAGAAATTGTAATTTCCGAAGTGAAAAAAAAATTTTATGAAATTGCAACAAAGATTATAGAAGGGAAAAAAAATAATTCTGTTTATTTGTCGGAAGTAGAGTATAATAAGGTGTTGAAAGAAGTGTGTGATGCGAAATTAAAAATAAAAAAGAAAACGAGTGCTGATTTTCGACGTTTGCGTCGATATGACGTGATAACAATATAAATAAATAAATAAAACTTTTCCAATTTATTTTTTTGTAAATGTCAATAATAACGATTAAAGTTATAATATAAATAATAGCAGACAAAATTTTAAACCTTCAATATGTCCGGCACTTCTATTTACCCCTTTTTGTGGTAACTATCTACATTTACCAAGGTAGTTGGTACGAGTGAGAAATCTTTGATTCAATTTAGACATTTCGTACATTTTCCAATTTCTGTTGGTGATTGTGCACAATTACCAATTTACTTGGTAAATGTACGAAATTTTTAATTTAAAACAGACAATTCCCACTTTTACCAACTGCATTGGTAGTTGTGCACATTAACCAGTAAATGTGCACATTTACCAACTTCGGGCTTTTACCGTAACATATATATATATATGGGAAGAGTGCCAGTTGTGGGCACCCCTACGTAATTTTTGACAGCACATAGATATCGCTGATATGAATATGGTCAAACTTGTATGTTGAGAGTACACTGTTTTTGTATTAATACCAAAGCGATACGCTCATTTTTTTAGAAACAGTGAGCATAATGAAAATATTTTGAAAAAAATGAAGGAAAAAGTGATTTTTTACTTTTTTCCAAGTGTGTTAAATAGGTGTAAATTATTAAAAAAGGTGAATGCAATTTTTTTTGTTCACTGTTTACATTATATTTTCACAGAAAATTATAAGGTATTAAAATAAGCAAAATTGGATTAAAATAATAAGCGTTGCAGCTTATTTTAATGCCTTTTAATTTTCTGTGTTGTGGTTTAATTTTGAATTTTACCAAAAAATCAAAACTATATAAATTGTTGGTCATTTTAAGAAAAAGGTGCATGTTCCGGTTCTGGGCACCTTTGTTTTTTTCAATTAATGCATATATTTAATTAATCTTTTAACAGCAAAGAAAAATTGATAGTAGGTATAATCTAATAAAACACCATACTAGGTGTTTTTAAAATCGCTAATTATAAATTTTATGTCAAATTGACAATTTGACCGTTGACAGCTGTTAATGCAACAGTCGAAGTTTCTAAAAAATAATTATATTTAACAAAATTGAAGTTATATGGGTTTTCGGGGTCGCTCATTACGATTATGATGTCAAATTGACCGTTGGCAGCTGTCAATTAAACTGTCAACTTTTCTAAAAAATAAGTATTTTTAACGAAAATGTCAATAGCAGGGTTTTTTAGGTCGCTGATTACGAATATGATGTCAAATTGACAATTATTTTTCATTATATTTGGAATCAACAACCCTGTGAAACCCTCGTATAGTGTCATTTTTCTTAAAAATAATCACTGTTTAGAATACTTGATTGTTGAATTGACAGCTGTCTACTGACAAACTGTAAATTTGACATCATCTTCGTAATCAGCGTTCCTGATAACCTTTATAATATCATTTTTGTTAAAAATAATCACTTTTTAGAAAAGTTAATTATACTTTTATATTCTCAAAAAATTAGCCAAATCCCATTGAAAAATGTTAATATTTAAAAAAGTTATACGCATTTTTGCATTATTAATTACTTATATTAAATTTCATTAATTATAATTATATTTTAATACATTATATTAAAAATATTAATAATAATTAATAATTATAACAATTAATATCACAATATTCCATTGGAATATGTCCATAATATTCCATTGCTTTATATGAAATAATGCTTTGGAATATTCCATTGATGTTCTAAGAATATAAAAATAACGACCTTTGGAATGTCCCTTTGGAATATTGCACAGTGTGCCAGGAGACCGGGTTCAGTGGCCAAAAGTTACTTTATATTTTAAATGACCTGAAACCCGTTGCTCGGGGGTTTTCGGGGTCGCTGATTACGAATCTGTTATTAGCTTTTAAAAATTCAAAATGGCGAATCCAATATGGCGGACGAATTTTTTAAAAATTCATCGGATCCACTTGAAACTCGTTACTCGGAGGTTTTCGGGGTCGCTGATTACGAATCTGTTGTTAGATTTCAAAAATTTAAAATGGCGGATCCAATATGGCGAAAGAATATTTTGAGAATTATTAAATTTTTAATTAAATTTTTATTGACGAGTTGCCTACTTACTGATTACGAATATAAATTAAAAATTCTAAATAATGATTATAATAGGAAACTTTTTACTTATGTCTGTTTTATCTGCAGTTAGCCTACTGTAATAGTAATTTCCAGGGTTTACCAAGAGGAGGTTACACTACGATCATAAACCCCATACGGGGTGCTTTCTGTGTGGGTCCCCTTGCCTCCCATTTTTTGTAATGCTTGCTTAGTAATTATACTTAGGTTGTAAAGTTTTAAAACACTAATCCTCGTTATCTTCGTCTGTTGATAATTCTATATCTTGTAAATATTCAAAACTTTTTGAAATACCCGTTAAATCTGTTTGTTCAACTTCATCATTCGTATTAGAGTAAATTTCTGAGCTTTCTTCTGGGACTTCATGTAAATCAGTAATTTCTTTTACTAGCGAAAACTGATTAATTTTAGGGTTCCGTACCCGAAGGGGGAACCCTATTAATGAGACTAGTGAAGCAAGGCATGTACCCCCCCCCCCTAGCGGCCACACGAATTTATCTAGATGGCTGAAATTTGGTATACATATGTATTTTGGCGTGTAGATTACAGGAAAAATATAGCGAATCTCATAGGAATTAATTATCATAGCGTTGTCAAGGAAAAACCATGAATTTTTACGAAAAATCCCTAAAAATGACTATGTACCACCCCCCTGGTTGCCACATCTTTTTACATAGAGAGCTCAAATTTGGTACACTTATGTATTTTTACGTGAAAATTACAGGAAAAATATAGCGAACATGATTCGGATTAATTTACATAGCGTTGTCAAGGAAAAATCAAAAATTTTGAAAAAAAGCGATTAATCCTGCTAGCGCACACAATATTTGACGAAGGCAGTTCATATTTGGTATACTTACGTATTTTTGCGTGTAGATTACAGGAAAAATATAGCGAGCACAATTGGAGTTGATGTTCATATTGTTTTTAAGGAAAACTCATATTTTTAGAAAAAATCATGGATTTTTCGAATAAAAAAAGAAGAAAATTTTATCCGAAGGGATCCAAATTTATACTTTTTTACGTATTTTTACTTGTAGATTACAAAAAAAATACAGCGAGAACGATTGGAGTTAATTATCATAGTGTTTTCAAGGAAAAACTGATAATTTTCGATAAAAATCATGATTTTTCCCCAAAAAACGAAGAATATTTTATCTAAAGAGTTTCAAATTTATACACTTTTACGTATTTTTGCGTGTAGATTATAAAAAAAATATAGCGAGAACTCCAATTGTGCTTGCTATATTTTTTTGTAGTGTTTTGCCATTCTTTATAACTTGCCATTTTCTTTTTTTTACCATTTGCTATTTTTTTTATCTTTTGACATTTTTTATTTGTTGATATTTTTATTAATTGGTGAAATCTAAAAAAATCATAAAATTGAAAATGTTTAATGATAAAAAAATTAAAAAATTTTTAAAAACTTATGATATGTATTTCCATGCTCACATTACAAGAAAAATTAAGCAAAATTGGAATTTTTCCATCGGCCTTCACACTTTAAACCCCTCAAATTTTAGGATTAGGGGTACGGAACCCTCGGTTTTTATGCGAGTGTAACTCGCACTTGTCCGATTTTTTTTTTAATCGTGATTGAAGACTAACATCATTGATAATAGGATCAGTGCTGTCCATGGATCTGTAAAACACGTCTTGAAGATTAGCTTCGCGACTAATTTTTCTTGCATGATGTTGTCTATCGCTCTTGTAATATTTATTTCTAGATTCAGATGCTTCCTCACCTAACATACCTATTGGCAAGACACTTGATCTTATAACATCACCACCGTGCATAAGAATTTTATGCACAGTTGACGGATTTAAATACCAATTGTAATGTTGAACATAAATTTTCGCCGTTGATTGTCATAACTCATCAAACTTTGATGCATCAATTGGAAGATAGCAGGATAGAGCAATTAGAATTTTTTTCAAATTTCGAATCATTTGTACATCAAGTCCAAGTAGTTCTGCCAGTAAATTTGGATCTTCGAAAGCTCGTCTTGCGGTATTTCCGTTATTTGTAGTACCAGAACCACCTGATTTTGGTTTGTCTACAATAAATCCTAATTTTTCCCATAAAATCTGTTGTATATGCTTTTTTCTTTCAGTAAATTCCAATTTATGCTTCGGATTCCTTACCTGCCAAACTTTTGTCTTTTCGGTAGAAGATGTGCAGACTTCAAAAAATTTTATCCAGGCATGGAGGTGACTTA